TTTTAAAATGATGTGGTTTAAAATTAAGAAAGGAGTTTTTCAGAGTTGTATCCTATCACCATACCTATTCAATCTTTATGCTGACAAATTATTTAAGAAGCTGGACTCTATGAAGAATAATGTAGCATCAGGACCAGAGGAAGACATAACCCGCCTTATGCAGATGATACAACCTTGCTTGCTCAAAGTGAGAAGAACTTGAAGTACTTGCTGCATAAGATCAAAGGACAGAGCCTTCAATGCGGATTGCATTTCAACATCAAGGAAACAAAAAATTTTACCATTGGAACTACAGGCAGCATCATGATAGCTGGAGAAAAGATAAAAGTTGTTGATAATTTCATCTTACTTGGATCTACACTCAACATCATTGGTATCAGTAGTCAGGAAATTAGGAGATGTATTTCACTAGGAAAGTCTGCAGTCAGACCTCTCCAAATTATGAGAGCAGCAATGTCAGTTTGAGATCTAAGGTGCATCTGATTTGGCCACTGTCTTTCCAATCACTTGTTATGCATCTGAGAGTGGACAATGAATAAAGATGACAGAAGAATCTATGCCCTTGAGCTGTTGGAAAAGAGTACTGAATATCCCATAGACTGCCATAAGAACAAAGTAATATGTCTTTGAGATGGGAAGCCAGAGTAATCCTAGGAGGCAAAGATGATAAAGCTTTATCTCACATACTTTAAGCATGTTGCTAGTAGAGGCTATTCCTTAGAGTGGGACTTCACACTTGGAAAGGTGGTAGGTGCAAAAGAGAGGAAGACTCTCAACCATATGAACTGACACATGGATGCTGCAATGAACTTAAGTGAGCCAGGAAATGTGACACAGGGTAGGACAGGTTCACAATGGGTTGTAGTTGACTGGACAGTACCTAACCAACACCTAACATAACTATGTAAGTCATGGTCATTTCAATTTTTCTGTATACATCTGAAATTTGGAAAATGATTAAAGAAGAATCAATGCCTTTGAATGGTGGTGTAATAGAAAAGTATCAACTATAGAAAATATGGATTGTCAAAAGAACAAATGAATAATTCTTGAAGGAGATGTCCATAGGTTCTCCTTACAGGCAACTTTGGAAATGTTATCAGGGCCAGTGTTTGGAAAAATACATTATGCTTAGAAATTATAGAGGTCACCAAAGAAGGCATTCAGATGGCATACAAACACGTGAAGAAATGTTCAAAATCTCTAGCTCTAAGAGAGATGCAAAACAAAACAACTATGAGATACCATCTCACCCCAGTCAGAATAGCAAAATTTAACAGAACAGCAAACATCAAATGCTGGTGAGGTTGCGGAGAAACTGGAACCCTTATTCACTGTTGGTGGGAGTGTAAAATGGTGCAATCACTATGGAAGGCAGTATGGCAGTATGGCGCTTTCTCAAAAAGTTTCAAATAGAAACACCATTTGACCCAGCAATTCCACTACTGGGAATACACCATAAAGAAACTGTAACTGCTACCCAAGCAGATATATGCACACCTATGTTTACTGCAGCTTTGTTCACATTAGCAAAGAGTTGGAAACAACCCAAGTGCACATCAACAAATGAATAGACAGAGAAGCTGTGGTATATTCACACAATGGAATACTATGCTGCATGAAAAACAAGGAAATAATGAAATATTATACAAAATGGGTGACTCTAGAGGACAGTATGCTGAGTGAAATATCTCAATCATAAGGAGACAAATACTGTATAATGCCACTGTTGTAAAGCACGACTGACATCAGGGTTGGGGGAAAACTGAGAAAAGAGGGGATAAATAATCTACAAAACACTGAAACAGATGAGGGAGAGAACTGTATAAAAGGAATAAATGCTTAGGTATCACTGACATGACAAGATTCCAGAATAAGAGCTGCATAGTAAAGTGGTCTGGAATGGGGGTGGGGGACTGTATAACAATGAAAGAAATTTTCCCAAAGAAAAAAACAATCTGGAGAGGGTGGAGTGGCAGGGAGGAAAATGTGTAACAATGAGTGATTGGAAACCCAAGTTCTTTATAAACTTTCACTAAAATCTCAATTTTAAAAAAAAAAAGGAAAAAAAAAAAAGAACGTTACAGAAGTTCAGAGAAAGAGAGGGTGACTAATGAGATGGATTAATATTATGACTCCAATAATGGGCTCAAGCATGTCAGAGACCATGAAGATGGGGCAGGATAGAAAAAGTTCAGAAGTGCTGCTCATAAGGTCTCTATGAGACATAGTCGGCTCAACGGCTCATAACAATTATGCGATGATAATATACAAAAGCCCAGAGCAATGTTACACTGTCTAACCCTTTGATGTGTTTACATCTTAGCCTATATCTAGCTCTTCTCTGAGAACTGACCTGGCAGGCTTACTGCCTTCTAAGTATTCTTCTTATTTCCATGGGAATCAAGCATTATTCTAGAAGTTTGGCTTGCTCCTAAGATTGATTTATCATCTTTAGGTGCATACTTAAGGCAAATTCCAGGGCCTTTTTGTTAGTGGCCTACTAAATCTGCATTTAGGATCGCTCCTGTATGCCAATGCATCCCTCAATTTACTGTGAAATATCTCAGTATCTTATTTCCACTTTCTTACTATCTTCTTTCTGCCCAACATATGCCCATTAAGCAAGCTGCCAAAAGAACAAACGGATTGATGCCATTTTAGAGCAAGTTTATACATACAAAAGTTATTTTTTTTATAAAGAGTTTCTCATTTCCATAAATTACAACTGATGTTGGAATTTCCAGTGTTTTCTAAGTCTCTAAATTACCTGAAAGGAAACTGTCCATCCTTTTCCCATTGAGCAACTGAATCTGAACTGCTGGAGAGGCACAGTGATTGAGTCAGCAGGACAGCTCCCTATGGTCTATGCCACCTAAGAAACTTTAAGATGATAGAAATATCAAAGCAACTTTAAAAGTTGAGGCTGAGAATAGATAAGTATTAATATATCCATTCTACAATATTTTTTTCATTTATGTGTTAATTCTCAGAAGATCCTTACTAGAAAATAGTAGATGGGAGACAATAAAGAAAAGATGTTTAAAGTAATAATCTGCAGTTTTTGATGCAAAGTCTGTTCCTTTTAATTCAGAAGAATAAGTATAGTAATGTTTCTGAAAGTGTGTAAACTGTCATTCTCTAAGGGTAAAATTATAAAACAAGAAACAAAAAAAGACCTACACAAATGAGTAAAAAATATTCTGTTTAATGTTAGAAGACAACATTGTCTGAGGCAATCATACTGAAAGCATTCTACAGATTCTATTAATCACAATATATAAAAGTTATTCTTCAAGGAGACAGAAAAGACAACTTTGAAAGATAAGCAGATAATAGGAGTATTGCAACTTGAACAACATGTGCAATCGTTCAAAGTGGAACGGAAGAAGGAAGAAGGGCAGGAGAGGAAAAAGGATGGATAGTAGGTCAGTAGAGATTAGTGGATGGATAGGGGAAGTGGAGGAACAGGCAAGGTATGGCAAGAATTTGAAGATACACAGGTGTAAAGGTATAGATTAATTGTAACTGATGCTCTAGGACACAATGTATATGAATGATTGAAGGAAAATCAATTTTAAAAAAAGGTAAAATTAGAGAATTAAAAAAAACCCCTTTTCCTTAATACCCCTAGCCATGAAACTGTGGTCCTTTAACTTCACTATGGAAGCACAAATCTAAGAATCTATAAAGCCTATTCCTCTAGAAGTTGTAAGATTATTACCATAGATGTCTCTGTAATTCTGTGAGGACATGTCACAAAAAACAGCTGATATGAAGACTTTTACAAATTAAAATCAATGTATCACCACAGCAAGAAACTTTCCATTTTTTCTTCTTAACTAAAGTCCACAGCAGAAAAGCACTTAGGCAGCCTAAGGAAACATGGCCCCCTTCACTGCTTCAGCATGGGCTACACCAAGGCTCTCTAGTTGGCACAAACAGATCATGCGTTCCTTTAGGGTGGAAGCATTGCTGCCACTCACGCCTTGTCAATCAGCTGACTCACATGCATCTAGATACGTTTTCTAGGTTCTACCTGATTTAAGCCATGGTCTTTCTAATTGTTTTCTACGTATCAGAAAGTTGGCTAGTCTCTAAGAATGAGACAAGAATCAATGCCTTTGAGTTGTGATGTTGGAGAAGAGTACGGAACGCCACATGGGCTGCCACAAATACGAAGGACAACGTCTTGAAGACTGTGCAACCGGGGTGCTCCTTAGAGGCAAGGAGGGTAAAACTTTGTCTCACACACTTTAGGCATGTTGTCTGGGAAGAGCAAAAAGACGGCAAATTAAAAGACCTTCAACAGGATGTAATGACACAGTGACTGTAACAATGAACTCAAATATCTCAGAGATGATTATGACAATGCAGAACACAGGAGAGTTGAGATCTGTTGTTTACAAGGTGGTTACGACTTGTAGTCGACTTGATGTCACATAACACCACAACAAGTGTTATTATTTTCCCACACCATCAACAAATTGACTAATGCTTGTTGGTACCTGACTAATGGAAAGCTTAACATGGAGCAAGCTTCTTCATTTTAAGTTAAAATTTGGAAATAAAATGATAGATCAGTGATATCTGAAAAGGATACATGCACAGAAATTGTCATATTCACAAGTTCACACACACACATACACACAAAACAGTTACAAAATAAACAGCAGAAACCATTTTTTTGTCATTTATTACTTAGTCACTCCAGCATACCAGATCCTTATCTTGTAGTATTATATATATTTGTGCTACAAACGATGGGCACATGTTTACAATTGACTTTCATAAAGACCCTTTAAATAATGTTGTAGTAGTAATAGTGTCTAGCCGATTTGAAGTAACTGTAAGCAGCATAATTTAAAAGTAGTATGCAAGCAGAGGATAAAACATGGGGGTTTATTATTTTTTTAAAAACCCCAAAATCTAGGGAATAGTGTAGGAGTTGATTTCCCTAGAAAATAGCAGCACCATCTGTGCTGGAACTGGCTGCCTACCTTCCTTGGCCCTCTGTGAAGAGGACGCTGGGACGCTTTGGGCACAGTACACTTCTCGGGTCTGGATGCCACCACCACAGACAGGTCCTGTCGCATGCCAGTGGGGGTCCTGCTGCTCGAGGAGGAGAGAGACTTGGCATTCTTTCCACTCTGAAGTCCTCCAGGAATACCTGTTTGAATTTGATTGATTTAAAAAAGAAGGAAAGTGTAAAATTAAAAAGAAAACTTAAATCATAGCATCATATGAGTGTAAAAATCTCTCTTGATAGAATCAATGCAAACTCTACTGGTTTGAATTACCCCATGGGACATGCACAACAAAAGAAAATTCTTCCCTTTCCAGACACATTTGATGCATCCCTTCCCTGTCCAATGTATCCCCAAGACTTCTTATAGATTAGATTTTTAAATTCCAAAAGTAGAATGCCAGGCCTTTTTTCCTAATCTCTCTTACAATGGAAGCTCTGCTGAAACCTACCAACATCAAAGCAATACACAAGCTTCAAATTACAGAGAGGTTATGACTGTGTGAGAGGTGTACTGTCCAGGTTTCAAATTCAGCTCTCCTGCATGAACAGTAAGACTTCTACCACTGAACCACCATCTCTCTGTCAGTGGCCAGTTGCTGCTGAGTTAATTCTGATTCATGGCAGGCCCATATATGCCAAAGCACAATGGTGCTCCACAGAGCTCTCAATATCTGATATTTTGGAGGTGGGTCACTAAGTTTAACTTCCAAGGTGTTCCAGAGTCCAACCTTTCATTTCATGGCCAAGCATGGTAACTGTTTACAGCACACAGAGACCACAAAAGAATTCTGTAACCCACTGAAAATTCCAAAGACAACAATTCTTCTCTGACACACATTGGGCCAGAATCAACCAGATTCATATAGGTGGTATTTTGAATTAACAACAAATAGTAGTTGATGAGTTGGGGTTCTTCATAGTAGATGAATTTGTTATGGGTTTTCAGGCTACAAAATACTAGGGATCCTTATATGAAAGTGGATCTTCTTCTTTTTTAATCAGTAGAAGTGTATAAATGTAAAAAGTTGTGCATGTATTATTTATTTCAAAAGGACACAAACTCCAAACTTTCAGCTCTGTTGAACAGAAACATAATTTTTACCCATTTGACTTCTTGCCACTGTTAGAAAGGGTAAGGGAGTTTTGAGTTCTACAATGTCACCATGTTTATTTAAAGAGAACTATTTTAACATGCAGTCAGTCATACTGTTCATAAAGTGACTTAGGAATATTTTCCTTTCGTTTACAACCATAAAACAGAATGACAATGAGGTCAGTGTTTTTAATACACAGAAGATGTGTATTGAGAAGAATGTCAAAAGGGGACATGTTTCTGTTGGTATGCCAAGACTTCACCATCTAGTAGTGTTGGCTTTGTTACTGGCCTAGCAGAGGGCTTAGGAAACTCTTAGAAGCTACTGGAAAGCAGCCTACAGATACAGCCTTTGCTCATTCCTCTCATAATAATCAAGCATATGGCCTTGCTTTCAATAAGTTTATAAATAACAATAGCACACATCCATATAAAGTGAGGGGGAAAAGGAATAGTCACAAGATGGTATAAAGTGGGATAAACTTTATTTTTAAACCAACCACATAATGCATACACTATGTGCCGGACACTCTTCTAAGCACTTCCTAACTCATTTAATCCTCCTAAGAGACCACCAGAGTACAATTTACAGGTGGAAAACAGATCACAGCACTGATAAGGAGCAAAGCTAGGATTCAAACTCAGCTGCATGCTTTTAGCATCTGGATGCCTAACCTTGGCACTACAATTAGTGTCTTGCTAATTGCTATTCTGTCCTGCTAATCAGAATGGCATTAACTGATCTTTCAAGGCATGATGTACACTCTGTCAGAGGTTAATCATTAATGATAGTGGCTGTAAATCTATATTCCACATAGTCTGTCTGGCAATCATATCTGATTAGAGCAACATAGTTTTGTACCCCACTGGAGAGCTAACTGGAACACACAGGACAGGTGTCAACACGCCATTTTCCTTTGTTCCACTTTGGGTGTTCCTTTGGCATTATTATCAATTCACAGAATCCTTCTAGAAACCTACTGAAGTCACTTGTTTGATGAGGGATAGTGATACACTTTACTTTAAAATGTGTCTTGTGGACACAACAGTTAACCAAAAAGGTTAGTAGTTTGAAAACATTCCATAGGAAAAAGACCTGGAAATGTGCTCCTGGAAAGATTCCAGCTTGGAGAATCCTATATTGGCCAGTTCTACACTATTGCATGGGGTTGCTGTGAGTAAAAAAAAACCAACTCAACACCATACAACAAGAACAACCTGAAAAACAGTCACAATAAACACACACACACACGTATACACAAACAAATAAAAGAAAAAACACAAAGGTGTCTCAAATTTGCAACAAAACCACCACCATAACACTACATTTATTCCTGAAGAATTATTTAAAGGACTATAACATGATTTTTTAATTCCACATTATATATGACCCAAAAGCCTTCTCATTCATATCAATAAACTCATTAACTTCCACAACAATAAGTTGTTAAGTGCCGTTGAGTCATAGATGACTCATAGTGACCCTATGAATGAAAGATCTGGACACCTGTATAACTTTTCTTGTTTCTCCATGTTCATAGAGTTTCCGGAAGCAAGCCATTTCGAAAGTGGATACCACTCCTGCTCCCAAGCTTGTTTTAATCGGCTAGCTCCACCAATCCACTGTCCACCATGGGTAACCATTATCGCATTTGGCACATCAGCGTCAAAGTGTTTAGGATCACAACAACCACGAGCTACCTCTGTACAGCAATGCACAGACCAGTACTATACCACTTAGAATGAAGTTTGACAAAACTGGTACATTTCAGATTTGAGGGGAAATGACTCATTTTTATGACTGAATTAAAGGGGGGAAAATCAGAAATAAAACAAAGCATATGTTACCAGTACCCTAGCTTTATAAATGCGAATTCTGGTTGCTTAGTGGTAAGGAGTTGAACTGTCAACCCAAAAAGCACATGGTTCAAACCCACCCGTTACACTGAGGCAGAAATATGGGCAAAAACCTCCTGTGTAATTTGAAAACCCATTGGCGGATCAGCTATGAGTCAGTTCCAACTCAAAGGTACACAATAAGAGGCCTTAAAAAAACTAGAGTAAAATCTAAATCAGGTAACAAATGCTCAATCAGAGAGAAAACTTCTAAGAATTCTATCAGTGATCAAACTCCACCATAATGAATGTAATCATTATTAAAAGCTTAAAGAAAGACCATCATTACTTTTTTTTTATTTATCTGTTTGAAAGAAAAGCTCATTAAAGGAAATGATTTGGATAATTCTTTGGGATTTCTTGCAATACAATTGCTTTCCCTCACCCTAACTAATGCCTTTCATTTTTACTTTGCTTTCCTAGGCCTGTGCTTTATTCAGGGGGCTGGACAACAGTTCAGAGCACAGAGTACAGGTCCTCCTTAAGTAAGGCAAATATGAACAAAGTTTATCAGTAACTCCCACTCACCACCTATGTGTCATTTGTCATGCTACAGGGGCTCGTTGTTTGCTATCATGTTGGACCTATGATTCTTGCACTTCTATTGCAGGGTTACTCATGACGGACAGGCTTCAGTAGATTTTACCACTAAGAAAGAAGTGAAACACAGGCCAGGCAATTCCAACTAGGTTAGAAAAATTAGGGAAAACTACGGATCAAACAGATTCTTGTCCAACGCACTGCAGAAAGACAAGCTCCCTATATCGAAAGCGCAATGGACACAATCATACCAAGATCAGGGAGTTAGGTGCAGGCAGGTTCAAGTAAGCTTTTGTAATAAGGCCACTTGGTGAGAGCAACTAACAGTCCATGGATACGAAAACCCAGTTTTTCATTTCCCCTGAGACGGACCTTCTTCAAAAGAATAGCTACATTCTGGAACTTTCCTGCTCACTCTCACTGTGGGACACCACACTCACTCAGAGAGAGCTTTGTCCCTCACTTCTGAGTCTCCAGGGACCAACAATCTTTCTTCTGGAGACAAATATAATGTGACAGGGATATGTCAGGTTAGATTGTCACTAGGTTTTCACTTCAAAACAACTTACCCAATAAAGTAACTAAAAGAAAGAAGAGCTCTTTGGCTATTAGGGAAGAACGTGAAGGGCAACAGCTGAAAATAATATTCCTACAATAAACTTAGAGAAGAGGACGTGGTGGAGGTGAAGATGGCATGTGGTATAGAATAAAGATCACTCCTGATCTAACTAAAATTGCTCTGAATCCTGAAGCATACCACAAGCTGTATAGTTTAGGCTCACTTCTATTTCCTCTTTTAAAAAATGGAAATAATAACACAAATATTAAAGAGGGCAGATAATTAATATGTAATAAATGCTTTATATTCTCCTCATATTATTCTACATAAATGCTTTATCCCTTTTTGGCACATAAAACAGACATTTGCACACATATACACGCAATTAACATTAACTTTTGGTGGCTTCACAGATTTAATCAAAGGCCCTAATATTAGAGATGCCAGAATCACCATGACTCATGTTTCAGCCAGAGAGTTTCAGCAAAGAATGTAAAAGAAACATAAAGTGTGCAATTATTGAAAACCACAGTAATTTTTCTGTTTCTTGGAACAGAATGGTTCACATTGTATAAAATGTGTTTTCATTAATTTATAACAGCCCTATAAAAATTAGCAATGTAGGGATTTTAGTAGTCATTACAAAGAAAAATGAAAAAGAAAGTTTAATGGGTATGGTTTCATATAAAGTGACAAAACCCCTGTTGGTAGCTCATTAGCCAAACTTGTATTCACAGGCAAGCAACAAATTTTCTAAAGAAATGTAAGACATTTATCACTATCATTACTGTTTACCTCAGAGAAAATACCAACCCAGCAAGAGGCACAGGATAAAGCCTACCAGCCAAGGGCTCCTACCTTCCTTTCAAAAATGTAGGTCTTTCATACTCTGCTTATCTTTTTTTTTTTCCAAAGGTACTATCTATGTTTAGTCACAAATCACCCAGCAGCCATAAAAACCGAACATCCAGAACTCTACCAACCTGAGAAAGTGTCTCTAGGATCTGACAGAATAAGAAATCAAAGGACTCAGCTCAACTAAACGCACCGCGC